CGAGCAACAATTATAAATCATCATTGAACTAGGCAGCGAAACGCCAATAAAATATATATCGCACCAGAGGCAGGCATTAAAATCGGCATCGCGTTGCGCGTATCGGCATTGCCCGCCGGTCGCCCCCCCTCCCCCCCGCCGCCCCCGATCGTGCGCGCGACGATTGAAAAATGCAACCTCGGCTCGTTCCCGTGCAATTTCCATCGGCATTCGGCAGTGCGTACCCGCGCCGCACGCGGATGACAATCCGGCGGGGCAAAAAAAGGGTCGGAGCTGAGCGTCCGCGCGAGACAGACGGACAGGATGTGGGAGAAGGAAGGCAGGGGGGAGGGGGATTTCTTCTCTCCCTTCATTTCGCGTTCTTACCTCGTATCCCTCACCCTCCTCCCCGCGCAGGAATCTACGGTTCACAAATCGGTACCATGAATGACGGACGTTATTACCAAGTCTCCTCGTCGTTGATGAATATTTCCGTCGGGAAACGTGACAATTGAAACGTAACGAGCGAGCGCGGCACGAAAAGCGTTTCATCAAAACGCATATCGAGGCAATCTAACGAATTACTGCTGGTGTTATCGACATAACATATTACACTTGAGACATTATAATCTTTAACGACTTTCAATTTCATGATTTCGGAGACACTGTCCCACGATTGCATCAAGTGGCTACCCCTTGCACAAATCCGTCTAGGCGAGAAGAATCCTAACACGTCCTTTCGTTATGTTTGCTAATCCACCGAAAGTCCGCTGTAAATTCCGTTACGCCGGCAGGCAATCGGGAGCCGCGGCGGTATAATATTACTTTCGACGATTGCGTCGAACGTAACACGATCACTCGTAACGTCTCGATGCGCCGGGCGCACCGACAGCCGATACACGCGTGGATCGTCTTCGCGAGACGGCGCGACAGCTCGAATTTCAGAGAAGCGCGCGCGCGGACACGTGCGGCGGCTGGCAGCGGCGCGACGCCGTCCGTCATCCCTCGTCCCTATCTCTTTTCCGGGATCTATCCTTTATTGCGCCCTGGCCTTGTCGTCGCGGGGTGTATACAAATACAAATGCACGCCGGGCGAGCGGCCCGGCGGGACGTAACGACGCGGCGCCGGCTCGTGAAGCGCCTGTCGGGTGTCGAGACGCCAATTTGTTCGCGTTCTAGCACCTCCAGGAAGAAAAGGCGACTCTCGCTTTTCGGCAACTAAGGGCTCACGTTAGGCTGCGTTCAGAAACACCACTCGAGTACCCCAGAGTATCATTCTATCCTTGTTGCTCACCGTATGTTAAACAAAGATAAAATGATACACTGGGGTACTCGAGTGATGTTTCTGAACGCAGCCCTAGCAGAACTTTTCCCCACGGTTTGTACTAAGGTGACCAGATTTCTCAGTTTGAAAATCGGGACGAGTGACCGGGGGAGGGGGGAAAATTTTCCCATGGACTATGAAAATCAGGAAACAGCGGCTTAAGAAATAATTGTTCCTTCGAATTGCGATTTCACGTCGGAGTCTTGTGAATTTTATTGTTTAAAATGACGCGGATGAGAAATCGCGGTTCTTCATTTTATTTTGGTATATGGGGGTGGGTGTGCAATAGTGGGGATTCATTTTTGAAGCTGTGTTGTAAGACTGACAAATATGCCGGCGCGCAGTTCTATTTCGAATTTATAGTCACGAAGTGTGACTTTCGTAAAATAACGTTTAGACTGTTTATTGTGATAAATATTATCACATGCCTCGGTGGTCGAATTGGTGAGACGCCCACCTAGAGAGTAGGGAAATCCAGGTTCGAACCCTGGCTGAGGTAATATTTTTCGCAAGAAATTTTCTGTACCGAACACTGGCCGGTTAATGTCGACTAAAAGCTTGACTGTTGTTATCGGTTACCGGAAACTTAAAGAGATTTCTATACTATAATTTCTATAATCGGGATAAATCGGGTCTGACTGAAATCGGGACAAATAGGCGTCCTGTTTGCTAACTTGTTAAAAAAACCCGGGACAAAGGGTGAAAAATCGGGATTATCCCAGCCAAGTCGGAACGAATGGCCACCTGAACGTACGCAGAGCGCCGGAACAACGAGAGAATCACCAAGAAGACGTTACATTCTTCTCTCCTTTCTCGGTTTCTCTCCTCTTTTCTCGGATCAACGACGTTACGCCCCTGAGCGACTCGCGTCGCCACTATGCGTGCCCCGTGCGTACGCGGACAACGCTTCTTTCCTCATTTAGGTCGCCGCTCGTGGCTCCCACTCGTACTCAGCCTCTCTTTTCTCAAGGGGGAGAGAGGGGGAGAGAGAGAGAGAGACACGCGGGGCCGTATGCAAATGTAGCGTAGTGCGGATTTGTCTTGCTCCCGGGACCGCGACAGCAGACACCTCTCTCGCGGAAGAAAACGAAACGACGATCGATAGAACTCGCGATACTAATTGAAAAACAGCCGAGGAAAAGTCTTCCCGTTTACTCACTCTTTCTCCCTTCCTCCCTCCCCCTCTGTCTCTGCCTCTTCGAGTACCAATTACAGCTTTCCCGGCTTTAACATACGTGCCTGACGGCCCGCGGCTAGTTACGAGCGTTGGTTCGTGCCCTTTCGCCCGCTTGGCTGCGCCGGGGGAACCTTTAATGCGAATCTTAGCGACTTTACGCGAAACGACGTGGCTTATGCAAGGGTTAAACGCAAAGTACCCACCGGGCGTGTAACGTCACTCTCTCGCGCCGACGCGACATTTAAGATATTAATTTATAGAGGCTGATCGTCGCACGCGCAATACGGCCGGTAAACGTCTCTCGCGCAATCGATTCCAATGACGGGTCAATTAGAAGCCGCGGCATAAAGATCGATGACGGATTTTCTCCCCCGATCAAAGCGGTCGGGAGAGATTAGTGCGATTTCCCGAGTGTACATCAATTAAGACTTCGATCTCGCATTGACGAGCGAGCGTGGCTCGTGACTTCTGTATAATCGGCTCGCGCGCGAGAAAGCGTCGGTTTAACAAATTAAGATAGTGTGAACACGCACACTCTTTCTCTCCCTATTTCTCAAAATATGAATATCAATTATGCGGCTGAGAGAGAGAGCGAGAGAGAGAGAGAGAGAGAGAGAGAGAGAGAGAGAGAGAGAGGGGGAGGGGAGGGAAAGGAAAGAAGGGAAAGACAACGGTGCGCCGCGCTTGTTAAGGGAGATGACAGCGTTACGTCCGTCCGACGCAACACCCTCGAACGTCCGAACAAGTGTGGAAAATATTCCGTACGTCATATAGATATCAAACGGCGTGACAAGCAATTCGCAAAATTGCAACAGCCCGCGGACCTATTCCGCAACTTTTTGCACCGCGGCCCGACTGACGAAACAATTGCCCGTTAGCGTTACTATATGCGAAACCTCCTAAGGGAGCTGCGTTAAAATCACGGCCGTGGCGCCGCGAAGTACGTGTGTGCGTATGCGTGTAAACGAGAGGTGCAACGTAAACATATCGCTCACACTTTGAGGCGCAACAATGCCAACAGGATGCGAAGCGGTTCCCATCGCGAACTCTTTCGCGTTCACCCACCCATCACGCGGCTCGACGTGGCATTAGAGTTTGACCCGACAGCCAAACGGAGGTCCATAATAATAAATAGGGATGTGTCTTTAGGAAGATAAGCCATTAAGGGGATGCTGGAGTGATTCTGCACCTTTGCACCTTTTGCACTTAAAACTGTCTGTTTCGTGGAAACATTTGTGTAATATACAAATTAAACGGCTCACGTGTACAGATCGAAAGCAGCTTGCTATTCCGGCTAAATTAAAGAACAATATGACATCACTGAAACTAAATTTGTAAGTCTAATAAAAATTAATAGCGAGCAACACACATACCACATGCACTGTATGTGTGTGTTGCTCACTATTATTTCTTATTAGACTTACAAACTTAGTTTCAGTGATGCCATATTGTTCTTTCATTTAGCCGGAATAGAAAGCTGCTTTCGATCTGTACACGTAAGTCATTTAATTTGTATATTACACAAGTGTTTCCGCGAACTGATAGTTTCTAGGTTAGAAAGGTGCAAAGGTGCAGAATCACTCCAGCATCCCCTTAAGACACGCCGCTTAATGACATTTTCGTGGTAAAAAATTGACGGTTACAACAATTTATATAAATTAATGTAAAACGTCACGTTATCACGCGAATGCGACACACTTCAGCCGGCGAGACTCGCAAACGGCTAATCGGCATCGCGGAAAAGCGGCAACAATACGTACAATTTGTACTCTTTCTTTATTCTTAAAAATGCATGCACATAATGTCGCCTAAGCGCATATTATTACGGACACCTCCGTAATAATGTGGTGGGCGGTATTGTGTGCATCCTAATCTAGACGCTAAAAACATCGTAGCAAAGACATACATGTTGCAATCAGTTAGAAATAGTGAAGTACATCACTAATTATGTATTCCTAGTAAAATTTGTACATACAAGAGAATGTTTGAACTTGTATTCTCACTATGGAATGTCGAATTTGCACGGTCTGCTAAATTTTTCAGCACTCAAGATTCCTTTCAATCCTGAATCAGACGTTATTTCTATAACGTTGTAACTAGAAAATGTCTTTTTACACATGTTTAGCTACCAAGTCTATGCATTGCCGATTGATATCGGCACTTTGTTCGCGAGATATCACGAGTGGCGATACCTATACCCTACTGCTTTATTTTACTGAATAAAGGAGGAATAATATGCTAGCAGCGCGACTCCACAGCGATTGTGTGTCATTCTTGGGATGACGTTAAGCTCTGTGCTAACACGAGCGACCAGTAATGGTAGGGGTCGTCGGTTCGAGCCCTAGTCCTGCATATTTTCCCGAAATTTTCAAGGTTCAGTGCCTGAGGGAGTTTAAGTGCCTAGTGTTGGACTCGGTGTTTAATTAAGATTAAGCATGAATTTCAAGGAATTTTTAGAAATATCACGCTGACCTAACGTTTGAGAAGCGTTCCCACAAAAGGGTAAACTTGAAATCATTATTAGTAGACTACCCCTGTTTTCTTTCCTTCATCTAATACATGAAGAAAAGATTGCGTCTCACTCGACGAGATACCAAGAGACGAGAGTGTGTCCTTTCGGCAATTTTTTACCTTGAGAAAGCAGCTGCCGACGGACAGGTCCTCCGACACGGTGGCGTTGTAGAGCGGCTTCTCGAATATGGGCTCGTTGTCGTTGAGATCGTGGACGGTGATGCGCACGGTCGCGCTGCTGCTGAGGGGCGGCCGGCCGGAGTCGGTAGCGTAGACCAGCAGGACCGGCGTCGGGTCGGTCTCGCAGTCGACGTGCGCGACCGTGGTGATGAGGCCGGTGGTCTCGTCGATCGCGAACCACGTGGCGTTGGCGAGGGAGTAGCGAACCGCCGAGTTGGCGCCCTCGTCGCGGTCGGTCGCGAGCACCCGCAGCATCGACGTGCCGGGCTCGGACGCCTCCAGCAGGTGAGCCTCGTACATCTCGCACTCGAAACGGGGCGCGTTGTCGTTGACGTCGGTGACGAGGAGACGAAAGGTGCGCACGGCGCAGAGCGGCGGCGTGCCGGCGTCCGTCGCCTCCACCGACAGCTCGTAGACGGACTGCTCCTCGCGGTCCAGCGGCCGTTCCACCACCACGAGGTAGATGATATTGTCGCGGGTCGCCAGGCCGAAGTGGCCGTCGCCGCCGGTGAGCGAGACCGTCGCGTTGGAGTACTCGGCGCGGGAGTCGGGGTCGTTGACGGAGATCCGGGCGACGAACTCGCCGGGCTGCGCGCTCTCGCTGATCTTGGGGGTCGCGTCGTCCGACAGGAAGATGACGGTGATGGCCGGCTGGTTGTCGTTGACGTCGGTCACGCGGACGGAGACGAACGCGCTGGCCTCGAGCGGCTGGGCGCCACGATCCCGGGCGACGATCACCAGCTCGTGCCGCTCCCGCGACTCGAAGTCAAGAGCCTTGTTGACGTAGACCATCCCGGTTGCTGGGTCAACGCGGAACATTTCCTCGCGGTCGGACTGCCGGCGGTTGATGGAGTACTCGATGCGCCCGTTGTCCCCGGCGTCGGCGTCGCTCGCGTTCACCGCGAGCACCGGCGTGCCGACGGTCGCGTTCTCCGGCACGCTCGCGACGTAGCGGGTCTGGTTGAAGATGGGCGGGTTGTCGTTGACATCCTGCACGGTGACGTTGACGGTGAGGCGGGAGCGCAGCGGCGGCGTGCCGCCGTCGAGCGCCTCGATCACCAGGTGGTAGCGGGGCCGCGCCTCCCGGTCGAGCGAGCCGGCGATCTGCAGGTCCAGGTAGAGGACGCCGTCGCGGCCGCGCTGCTGCGACAGCCGGAACGCGTCGCCGTGATTCCCGGACACGATGTCGTAGCGCTGCGTCGTGTACTGGCCGAGGTCGGGGTCGTAGGCCGGCGGCAGCGGCCGCTTGGCGTCGCGCGGCGAGTTCTCCGGGAACTCGACGTCCACGTGGCCCACGGCGAACGCGGGCGCGTTATCGTTCTCGTCGAGCACGCTGATGACCACCCGCACGCTCGGCAGCGCGACCAGGCTGTACGACGGCCGGGTCTCGCGGTCCAACGCCACCCGCGTCCTTATCTCGCCCGTCGTTGGCTCGACAATCAGGTCGGTCTCCACCGGCGAGCCCGGCACCAGCGCGATCAGATACGGCGGGCTGTCGACGTCGATGAAACCCACCCGGGTGCCCGGCCGCGCGTTCTCGGACACCTCCAGGTACTTGACGCGCTCGGGCAGCGCGCCCGGGGCGGGGCTCGCTCCCAGGACGAGCAACAGTAGCAGACGCCACATCCCGGGGCCTCCAGCACCGCGCCACGGCCGTCCGCCTCCTCCTCCTCCTCCTCCTCCTCCTCGCCGCCGCCGCGCTGCGGCTCGCGATATTATCTCGACCTCTCCATCCTCCGCGCCGTGGGTCGCGACGCGAAGCGAAATGGATCCCTCGAGTCCTCCCTTCGTCGCGCTTCTCGTTTCCCGCACTCTCTTCGCGCTATCACCCAACTTGAACCTAACCTTGTACAGCACACCAACACGAAGCAAATCACCGAATATCACTGCGCTTTATTCCGCGAGCGGGGGGGGATCCCTCGCGGCCGTGTGTCGTTCACTTCCACTTAGACTTTTATCGTTACGCTCGCACGCCGAGTCGCCCAACTCCCACCTTCCCGCGTCCCAAGTGCCGGGCGGCAACTGTCTCACCCGCGGCCGCGCGAATCGTATCCCGATACCCACCGCGAGGACATGGCGGCGTCGCGGGGATTCCCTTCTTCGGACTCGGGCTCAGCCGAATTACCGCGACGCTCCACTCTTTCTTCTCTCTAGAAAGCGTCTGCTCTCCCGTTTTCTCCGCCAGGCTCTCTCGGCAGACTAGCGACGGCGGGCGAGATGTAGCGCATTCCCGGCGTCAGATCCACGTCCCGATAACCGGCGCGAGCGGTCAACACGAGCGGTCGCGAACCCGGCGCGATCGTCCCACGTCATGCATGACCGTTGGACACCTCGGCGCTGTCTCGCGTCGCGATACCGTCACGGCCCGCTCGTCGCCGCTGTCATTCTCGCCGGTCGTCCGTCTGTCCGTCCGACGAATCGAGGTGGGGAACCAGTCTGTTGGTCCGCGAACGAAATTCCAAACGGAACGACGAAGAGCACTCCGAACTGTCAGTGGTACGCCAGTCGATACGCGCGAGATCGCGACGCGCCCTTGCCCAACCTCGTCGGGAGAGACGCGCCGGGTATGAACGCGCGGTGTCGAGAACGCGCGACTGGCCCCGTACGCAACTTCTCTCCGCGGCTCTTTCAGGAGGAGGAGAGATGCCCCGGCCGGTCGCCTACTCTCGATCTCGAGGGGGATCGAACGCTCGCGCACCGTTCTCTCCCGAGCGGAGCGTAAAACCAAGGGGGATCCACCGCCGTGCACGAGCCGGCGGCTACGCGAATCCACAGCGAGCGCGAACCGCGAGGACCGCGACGCAACTGGCGAGAGACTCGGAACACGGCCGCCTCGCAAAGACTTTTAACACGGCGTTAGCACGAGGTGCTTCGCGTACTCCGGCCCGACGTCCGTTCCGCGCGGCTTCGAGGTTAGGCATGCACTGACATGGCGGCACCTGCGAGGCCTACCCTTCCCCTAACCCGACGGGGCCCTGGCGTCGGTCAGGGGGGCTCCGCAGACTGGGCCCGACTAACGGCGGCCATCTTGGAGAGGGGAGCCGCCGCCGCCGTCGCCGCCGCTGCCGCCGCTGCGGCGCTGGGCCCCCTGATACGTGCTGAGGCCCCGGCATTCAACGCTCTTCGCGGCAGCAAGCAGCTAGACCGTACCCGAACGGTCTTACCTGCCTGCCGACTCTCTCCCTCTCTCTCTCTCTCTCTCCCCCTCTTCGTCTTCCTCCACTGCCGCGTGCCTCTTCCTCTACCTACCTACCTACCTACCAACCTGAGCGCTCGGTATGCGAAAAACTGACTTACCGTCGGCGCTCATTCTGCGCCCGGCCCTTCGAGCCTCCTGTACCGAGGGTCCCAGAATTCTGTGACATGAGGTGGGAAAAGCGAAAACGTGCCGTCTCCTGGAAACGCGAGCCCAGACCTACGGGTGGGAAGAGATCCCGGGACAAAAAGGACATCTCGGTGGGTCACACGGATTGTCTAACGGGCTAATCCAACCGGGCGGATCGTGAGATTTCTGGAATTTTTGCGACCTGAGTAAAAATGCTTGTCGTTTTCCACGAGAAATGTTCTCCACGAATGAGATCGCCCAGGACGATAGGCCGGTGGTATCGTACAAATTGACTAATGATGGGCCCCTTGAACGAGATACAAAGGAATTTTTCGTAACGTGACAGGAAAAGCGGCTACGAGAACATTCCTCAGAAATGTGTGTTGCGCAAATTGCGAGGGGAATCCTCGTGGGAGATGAAGCGCAGTTTTTGAAATGCCACAGCGATAGAAACCGAACCGAGGAAGTTGCGGCCTGAACTTAAATCGAAAAATTTTTCATTCTCATGGAACTTTAAATACTCACGGATTACAGTACGACGAACGAGCTTCGAACGACATTTATATCATAAATTCGTAATTTCAAAGTTAAGTTAGTTACCAAAAAAGTAACTGTAACTTCGTTACAAGTAACGACCCATACAGCACGCATGTCTAGATCTAAAAGACATACATATCTAAAAGACGACTTAAAGATGTCTTTCAGACATGCGTGCTGTATGGAGAGTTACTTCCCAACCCTGTGTAAATATATTTCCAGCGTTGTGTATGCTAATTTCAACGTTCCTAATTCCTAATTTATATCAAGATTAGATAATTAAGACTAGCGTTAACTGCATAGATAAGGAATAGTTGAACTGTATATTATTTCTAACTATTTCGCAAGGATCACAACGCGTGCATGTCAATTGGCAATAATTTGTGCGGACAAATAATCTGTAACAACACATTTTTTTACAACGAATTCGGGGGAATTAAAGGTTATTCGCATAGCTGCAACAGTTTTAATTTGTCACAAGTACTATTGCAAGCTTTACGACCGATAGAAGTCGTAATTTCTCGTAAAAGAAATTAATGTAGTCACGATATAAAGAAGAGCTTGATTTCAAGTTCAATCGTCCGATTACGCTTATCAGCTGAGCTACTCTGGGGAAAAACAGCAACCCATTTTACAGCCCACAATTAGTAATCGAATTATTTGGATTGTTCGTAACTCTGGGAAAAATTTTGACCGACGTTTCTGAATATCGACAGAACTAATTGAGAGAATTGATTAGTATTACTGAAAAATCTTGGATATAGATAGAACAGCTAATTGCGATTTTTAGTTACGCGGGGTAAAATTCGCAAAAGAATAGAGTCACGAACAATTCAAATAATTCGATTACTAATTGTAGGCCCCAAAACGGGTTGCTGTCCTTTTCTCTCAGAGTATAAGGTGTGTCCAAAAACGTCACCCGGGTGAACTCTCCCTCCCGTTTTCCGGAATATATTCCACATTCATTCGCAATATCAACGACAACGAGCAATATTTAACAATAATGTTAAAAGAATGTTTAAACTTATTCAATGTTACCAACGGATATTAAGCACACATGAAAAACATTTGCCCAATATTGTTCATAAAGTTAAAACACTCCCATTTGAACGTTATTATACCCTTAAAATTGATGTCAAAGTGTGTTTATAATGACGGCGATTATAACGTTAAAATTCACATCCTGAACAATGTTACATGTTACTGAACATTGTTATAATGTTTTCTTTCGTTTACTGCGATTACACTTATATTGTTGAGTGAGAAATGATAATATTAATGTTATGTAACCGTTAGTTGGCGTCTAATTGTTTTAAATATCTTTAAACAAAGAGAATTGGATATAACGCTGTATGATATAAACGTTTCTTCGTCGGGAAATGATAAATATTCGATCGCTCCGAGCGCCATAGCATCCCTGTCAATCAATGCCATTGGACGTCCTTAACAACTGCAATCACGGTCGCGTAAAAAGTACTAAGCACTGTCGTGAAATACGTGGAGCCCAAGGTATCGGCTTCAACATTAGACCGTCAGCGTTTCCTCAATTGCGGAACAACCTCACGGCGGTAGCGTTCGCCAGACACGCAAACGTGCGCGTGGCGATCGAAAAGTCAACGTGCGGACGACAAGGTTTCGCGATTACGAGATGAGATAACGAGCACCGTGGAACCGTCGCAAATCGGATCTCGTTCGCACGCCGTTGTGACGATCCGCTGATGCGCTCCGCTTCGGCGGACTCGATCGACGTGGCGGTTCGTTATTGCTTCGCAAGAGATGATAGGCGTTTGATAGATTGCCGCGCCGCGCGAAATCAGTCCGGAACGAAAAGGAGATCTACCTTCCGTCCGAGGTGTTTCCGACGGTAACGACGACGACGACGACGACGACGACGACGACGACGACGACGACGGCGGCGACGGCGACAGCCGGTCGGCCGCCGCTCGACGACGCGACGTGTCTCGGGGGTCGAGAACCCCTGGGTCTCTCTCTTCCCCTTTCTGTTCTTCTCTCTCTCTCTCTCTCTCTCTTTCTTTCTTTCTCTCCCTGGTCTCTACCTGACTCTCTACGAGTAGGTAGATAAATCCGCCGCCTACTACTACCTCGCCGTGGCGGACAATGCGCTCGGGACGGCGCATCATCGTCCGTATTGTTTGCTCGGCCAACGAGCGCACCGCCCGGCTCTCCTCGCAGGTGCTGGAAGCGGTGGAGAGCGGTGGACGTGCACTTGAGCCATCAACGTAACGTGACGACGGCGCGCGGGATATTTCCCGGAAATCAAGTCGCTCGCGCCCCGCGGAAGCCGCTCCCCGTGTTCCGCGCGTGGAAATGACGAGCGATTTCAGGACGCGCTCGTCGCGCATCGTGCTCGTCGCGCGCAAATTCCATGAAAGTGGTCGGTAGTTGGCTTTAATGACGTGGGAATGTGTGCATCGCGAGTGTTTCGGTGCGCGCCAATCTCACCGATCTTGCAAAGAGAGAGAGAGAGAGAGAGAGAGGAGGAGGAGAGAGAGGGAGAGAGCAATCCGATCGCTTTTGGGGACGAGAGCTTTTCTCAGTAAGCCGTCAGCGCGTCTATGTATCCGGCATCGACAGACGGCGGGCAGCAAAAACGCTTCTTTGTAATAATAATGACTTCCATCTGCGCGGCCAATGTGTATCATTTTTGGCATGATAGAAAGAAATGTTGCGTGTTGTCACGCTTGTTCGACGTCCCTGCGGCACCGCGGGATTGGCGAGAGATCGACGTGCACCTGCGGACCTC